GCACTCTCCACGCGTACTTTACTAGTAAATAGAGCCTATATTTATATTCTCTAGTATATTTATAGGAATCCGTATTACCCCCATATAAATATAGTCAAGAACTGACTGTACCGGTAGAACCGTTAGAGAAATAAACAAATTCTCACATGCACAAATGGCTGGCTTCTTGCGAGTGAAACATTTTCTTCTCGCTCGTAAACCAACCGCAGCGGTAGCAACCAAAGCAACCTCTTGCTACGCATAGCTAGTAGCTAGACTCGACTCTCTCCCACGTCCTACGCGAGAGCTACAGGTACTAGCTAGCGAGCGTACGATACCGTACCCCAGAAAGATCTTTTGCTTGATATACCCCACATCTGCCTTTGTTCTAGTAGAACGGTACCAGTAGCGGAAGATTCCGGAGAGAATGATTGTTTCGTGATGTGCTACCTGGCTGGTGTGCTACTTGACTGGTACCGGTAGCACCGCATTTATTTATTACAGCAAGCAGTGCCGTACTGCTTGCATACGTGGTCTCCCTCATTTTTCTGACCGTTGCCTCATTTTTCTTTCTTTGTCTATAGTAAGAACAAACAACCCCCGCTACCTCACTAGAATTCGCCAGCAATCGTACCCCACCATGAAGATCGTCCTGTTGCTCTTGTTGGCTGTCGCGCTTCTTGAGCACACAGCCGAGGCGTTGGTGCGAGGTGAGCAGAGGAAAGAGGATCAGGTACGCACCACGCCGTCGACCGAGAAACGTTACCCACCCTGACTTTTTCTCACAGTTCTTCTCTTCAGCCTCGCGCCCGCGAGCTCAAAGGAAGCATGGACAGCGGTGGCAGTGGCGACGACGGTGATACTGGCAGTGACACTGATGCAATCATTGATGCCATTACCGACGCGGCTTGTTTCTCAGCCATCTCTACTGTCCAACATCTGAACTCTGCACCACTATTACACGGCAGGATCCCCATTCAGCAATCTGTTTTTCCCATTGGCCGATCTAGATCCAGCCAACAAATGGTATTTTCCCATTACAAGATCTAATATCTAACCTGGAATGGTAGTTACGAATTGACATTGGGTATACCACCGCCCATTCAACAATCCCATGGCACAATCGTAGCAACTGCATTTGCAAACCGTTCTAAGAGGTTTTTCATGTAGCCGTTGACTTGTTTGCACAGTTGCCTTATTCAAAGGCCAACATTTGAAACACAAAGCCAACGACTAACAATAGAACAAGTACATGTACAACCTTCCACTATCATCTCAATAATCGTAGCCACAAGGAGCTTTGGTAACATGGATAATAGGGTATACAAACCATCGCTTGAGGCGAAAGAGTTTCTTGAGCAAGCCGACAAGCTAGACAAGATGTTTGCCCCCATGCCGCCGGATCCTTTCTACCGCCGCTCATCAGCTAAGCGAGACAAGAAGAAGATGAAACAGCTCAAGATCCAGAAGGCTATCGGCCAAAGCCAACAACCAACTTCCAGGGTGTACCAGTTGACAAATGCACATACGTGCCTGAGTTGGAGCTGTCTGTATTCATGCATACTAACTACCTAAAAGCATGGAAGAAACGACAGAAGCAGCCACACTTTTTCCACATTGCAACTGACGCCCAGTACTGCCATCAATGTTACCTGCAGCCATGCTCTGCCAGACTTTTGGATAACCAGTTAGAGTTTGATGCCTGTACCATGAAAGACCTAGCGGAGATGACCGAAGAAGAGTACAGAGAGAAGCTCCGCCTGTACTACCGAGCTCAGCTAGTAAAGCTACAAGGTAAACGCATTATCAACCGTCAAATGTCAACAAACAATGGCATTCCCCTTTGTGCAAATATTTCTAACTGCTAAAATTGCCAGCATCGAAGCCAGTGGATATGACAGTCTATTCGAAGAACGCAACCCATTCCCAAGCAGCCTCAAAGCTACCAAAGCCCCCACCGGTACCTGTACCGATACAGTGGAATACCTGTCTAAATCGGAGGAAGAAGCATGCTTCGAGTAGATAGATGCTTTATTAGTAGTAGTGGTTAAATCTTTACTTAGTATTTTCGGCACTGAAAGCAACGAATGGTTTAAAGAACATCAGCAACCCACTTAACCTAACCCTAGTGCTGCTAGTCCGGTTTGAACAATTGTTACTGCTGCTAGTGCTGCTAGTCCGGTTTGAACAATTGTTAGTGCTGCTAGTCCGGTTTGAACATTGTTCAAACCGGACTAGCAGCACTAGGGTTAGGTTAGACTCAAAAGATACTTTTTTCCAACGGATGCACGACTCAAAATAACAAGAGACAACAAATAAGATCGCCACGATCAATCGTACCAGCATAAATCAAGCTTGCATGCAATTTGTACCCACCCCGTTCCGGGATCCGATGATCAAAGAGCGTTTCTGAAAACAAGTGAATCTTTCTTTGATGCAATCTTGGCATCGGTTGACGCTTTGGATGAGAACTCTATTGTTGGCGACTATCCTAGCCAGATGCATTATTATCGACCATGCTGGTATGGAAATAATGCGCCTGCATTCGCTGCCTCTTGGTATACTTGGGCAAACTTGGAGCCTTTCAGTAAAACATTCTTCTAGTAAACAAAACATAGCAATAATGCTTAGCAATATATACCTTCCCCAGCTTTGCTAACTTCTCTGACTTAGCAAGCATCACTAGGGCTGGAGCTTCTCAGGCTTTTTGTATCCGACTTAATTTGAGATAGGGATTCATTGATACCTTCTTACTAAACTTGCCGTTGTTATTATCAATCAATAATAACCACCATGGTGATGGAAGATCGGTTCCAAGGAGATGGAACTGGCCCATCCTGACCCCATGTGCGTGTCCGCAGGGTGCCAATTGGTTGGGGTCCGGGTTGTCTGCTGATCGAGGGGGCACTCGGGGCCCAAAAAGTCAAGATTTGCTGTCGCTGGGATGTGTAGCCGGCATGCCGGTATCATGGTTTCGACATGAAGGAGATGGAACTGGCCCATCCTGACCCCATGTGCGTGTCCGCAGGGTGCCAATTGGTCTGGGTCCGGTGTCTGCCGATCAGTTGGCACTCGGGGCCCAAAAAGTCAAAATTTGCTGTCGCTGGGATGTGTAGCCGGCTGCCGGTATCATGGTTTCGACATGAAGGAGATGGAACTGGCCCATCCTGACCCCATGTGCGTGTCCGCGGGTGCCAATTGGTTGGGTCCGGGTTTCTGCGATCAGGGGCACTCGGGGCCCAAAAGTCAAATTTGCTGTCGCTGGATGTGTAGCCGCATGCCGGTATCATGGTTCGACATGAAGGAGATGGAACTGGCCCATCCTGACCCCATGTGCGTGTTCGCAGGGTGCCAATTGTCTGGGTCCGGGTTTCTGCGATCAGTTGGCACTCGGGGCCCAAAAAGTCAAATTTGCTGTCCTGGGATGTGTAGCCGGCTGCCGGTATCATGGTTTCGACATGAAGGAGATGGAACTGGCCATCCTGACCCCATGTGCGTGCCGCAGGGTGCCAATTGGTCGGGTGGGTTTCTGCGATCAGGTGGCACTCGGGGCCAAAAATCAAAATTTTCTGTTGGGATTGGCGCATGCGGTATCATGGTCGACATGAAGGAGATGGAACTGGCCATCCTGACCCCATGTGCGTGTCCGCAGGGTGCCAATTGGTCTGGTGGGGTTTCTGCCGATCAGGTGGACATCGGGCCAAAAAATCAAAATTTTCTGTTGTGGGATGTGTGCCGGCATGCGGTATCATGGTCGACATGAAGGAGTGGAACTGGCCCATCCTGACCCATGGCGTGTCCGCAGGTGCCAATTGGTCTGGTGGGTTCTGCCGATCAGGTGGCACTGGGCAAAAACAAAATTTGTGCTGGATTTGGCGAGCATGCCGGATCATGTGTCGACATGAGGAGATGGAACTGGCCCACCTGACCCCATGTGCGTGTCCCAGGGTGCCAATTGGCTGGGTGGGTTGTCTGCCGATCGAGGTGGCACTGGGCCAAAAAACAAAATTTCTGTTGTTGGGATTGCCGCCGCATGCGGTATCATGGTCGAATAAGGAGATGGAACTGGCCCTCTGACCCATGGCTGTCCCAGGGTGCCAATTGGTCTGGTGAGGTTGTCTGCCGATCGAGGTGGCACATGGGGCCAAAAAACAAAATTTCTGTTGTTGGGATTGGCAGCATGCAGGTATCATGAGATCGACATGAAGGAGATGGAACTGGCCACTCCTGAGCTCATGAGCGTGTCCGCAGGGTGCCAATTGGTCTGGGTGAAGGTTGTCTGCCGATCGAGGTGGCACATGGAGCCGTAAAAAACAAAATTTTCTGTGGTATGGTACATCGCCGACATGCCAGTTTTTTGGTATCAACCTCAACGAGATGGAACTGGCCGCTCCTGAGCTCATGAGCGTGTCCGGTGGGTGCCATTTGGTCATGGACAGTGTTCCCTGCTGATCGAGGGAACACATGTGGCACGAGGAAACAAAAGTCTGTGTTGCTGAAGTCAGTTGTCGACTTGCCAGTTTGATGATATCGACCCCAAAGAGATTGAACTCTAAATGCATTGTCTTCTGAATCTTCTTCTGTGAATTGGGATCAAGCTACGTGGGCATGAATGCGTCAGCATGTTCTTATTCATATATAATCGTCTGCAGCCAACTGGTTTTATCTTTTAGTACTTACTATTAATTTGTTTGTGTGTCTTTGTTGAGAACTGCACAAAAGTGAAGCACATATGTTCTTGACGGGGCATATACCATGTCGATCCATGTGCTTGAAATAGTATCAGCCAGTAATGAGCCTTTTATCCAACCGAGCACTACTATGTACCACATGCGCCAAAGCCACATTTAGAGAATACCGATGCTGGCCCACCACCAGCTGACCAATGCCACTCCACTGTCAGCCATGGGCAGTGCTGATGGCGTTCACAAGCCGACTGGTGACAGTGCTATTGGTACCCAACGGCTCCACAGCCCACAGAAGCAGCAGCGCCACAGGGCTAATCGTTCCAAGCAAGATGCCATTGCTATCCAACAACGATTGACTGATGCCCTCTTGGCCGCCAACCAGCCGCCCACCAATGTAGCCACGGCCCCATCTCCCAAGCTAGCTTGTGGGGAGTTGCCTGTCACACGACCCCTGCGTGTCCCAGCTACGAGCCACCAGCTGCCCAGTGCCACACCCTTGCATGCCCTCGCTGGTGCCCATCCATCGTTGGATGATGGGGAGATTACCGAGCTTGCCAACCCTAGTAGTCATCCAACCTCTGGGGAGCTCATGATGGCAAAACCTCCAGCCAGCAAGCAACCGGCTTCCGGAGCTGGCGCCAACAACATTCCAGTTGCACAACCAAATAGACCAAGTGTGGCTCCCACTCAGTCAGCTCTACAACCAAGAGCACATGAGCAGACTCACACAGTGGTGACCCCCAGGCAACCTGCTCCAAGACACAGAGCACACAAGGGTCCCACCACAACCAACATTGGCAGGAGACCTAGTGGTCCATCACCTATAGTGAGGCCCAAGGTTCCCAGACTGGTTCCCACAGAACCACCAACCTATGGCACAGCCAGTGCCACAAGACTTGTGCCCAATGAGGTAACATTGTCTTCGGATACTAGGCCCAGTCTAGGTCCAACCATCACCAGTCCATTTGACAGAAGGACCACCAAGCAAACACCCTCTGCTCTTGGTGGCATTCATGGGGAGCAACCACAGCAAGCACCTGCGATCAAGGCAGCCTTGGTGTCTCCTACCCAGGAGCTGACTACCATGGTATCTACTTCCCAGAAGCTGTCTGCCACGGTGCTTTCTACCCCGAAGCTAGCTACCATGGCAACAGTGCTTGGCAATGGGCCAATCCCGGTGACGCCGTTGGATTTTCCCTAGGGCGATCGATTCATGTTCCTGATCGATCGAGCCCAAGACCCACAGTCAAGGAACATGTCCGCGGGGCAAGAAGGCCGCTCCACTGAGAGCTTGCCGCCGCTGAATTCGGCCTGTGGCAAAGCCACATACGGTGCTTCTACCCGAGCTACTGTACAGGCAACAGTGCTTGGCAATGGCCAATCCGGTGACGCCGTTGGATTTTCCCTAGGGCGATCGTTCATGTTCCTGATCGATCGAGCAAGACCCACAGTCAAGGACTGTCCGGGGCAAGAGGCCGCTCCACTGAGAGTTGCCCGCTGAATTCGGCTGTGGCAAAGCCACGAATATTTGTCTAACATATGAAGAACAAACAACAGCTATGATACAACCAGCACCC